ATCCTCTGTCCTCACTCCAACTACCTCCATGTCCTCTCTAACTGCATCCATACATCTCCTCTTTGTCTTTTTCCTGGCAGCTGTATTTCTAACATCCTTCAATATACCCACTGTCCCTCCTCTGGATATGTCCAAACCATCTCAGTCTGGTTTCCCTAACGTTATCTCCCAGTTGTTCAACCTGTGCTGTAGCTCTGATGATCTCATTCCTGATCTTATCCATCCTTGTCTCTCCTAAGGAGAACCTCAACATCTTCATTTCTGCCACCTCCAGTTCTTTGTCCTGTCTTTTTGTCAATACCACTGTCTCCAGACCATACAACATATGACAGTCTTGTAAACTTTTCCTTTGACGACACCCTTTTGTCACAAATCACTCCTGAAACTTTTCTCCATCCACCCCATCCTGCCTGGATTCTCCATTTCATCTCTTTCCCACATTCCCCATTTTCCTGGACAGTGGACTCCAAGTACTTGAAGTCCTGCACCTTTGTGACCTCTGCTCCTTGTAGCCTCACTGTTCCACCAGACTCCCTCTCATTCACACACATGTACTCTGTCTTACTATGGCTGACTTTCATTCCTCTTCTTTCAAGTGCATACCTCCACCTCTCCAAGTTCTCTTCCACCTGCTCTCACCACAGATCATGTCATCTGCAAACATCATAGTCCACAGGGATTCCTGCCTGACCTCATCTGTTAGTCGGTCCATCACCAGAGCAAACAAGAAGGGGCTCAGAGACATTTTCATACCTCAGCTGGTTTGTTATCAGGTCCAACTGCCTTCTTCATCCTCTTCAACACTTCTAAACCTTACCTTCACTAAAACTAGTTTGCATTTTATTACCGAAATTTGAGTTATTTCATAAAAGTAAAATAATATTTAATTTGTATTTGTATCTGTTATGTAAATATTTAAATGAGCCATTGATATGGTTTGTTATACTTAAATAGACTATATTTAAATATACAAAATAAGGACTGTACTTGCCTACTTAGTTGTTCAAATGACAAAATTACCACATTAAAAAAAGTTTTGCTCAGTTAAAAAAATGTGTCAATATAAAGCAAAAAGTTGGTAAACTTCTTTCAGATTACTGGCTTAGTTTGTATTCTACCATTTGACAGCTGGGTTTTGACATTGTTCCAGAAGTCTGGTTGTTCATTTGAGCTGCCATGTTGTTTTTAGACAGAAATCACTTTAGTCTTTTTTTAATTGGCATTTGACCTTCTGACTCAGGCTGGTAGAGTCTGAGATGCAGTTCATTTCTCTGGGCATTGCATGGTCTGACCTTGGGTTGAATTTGCTGGAACGGCCTCTCCTGGGAATATCAGCAGCTGTCTTAACTGTTTTCCACATGTGAATAATCTCCGTTTGATCAGCAGCTCCTGGCCGATACTGAACTTCTTAAACTCTGAGGATGCAGCAAGGGTGAACTTTTCATTTTAGCTTAGTTTTTGTTTAAAAAAATATTATGTCCTCATATGTAAAAGCCCAAAAGGGAACAAAGGTACACTTTATTTTTCCTATGACTGTAAGTCGGACTGTTGAGATCAAGGATGGAGTTAAACCATTTGTTTGTAGTTTTCTGACTTGTCTCTATGAATATGGGTATCCACATTGAGATGATCTATTATATTATCTACACTTCCACAATGCATTGGAACAGTGAGGACAGTTATTTTTGTTTTGCTCTAGGCTGCATCAAGATACCCTTATTTGTAACAAAACACCAAAAATGTAGTTGAGCAAAAGTACTGGAATGTGTGACAGACGGGTGTTTGTTTCATCCAGCCATCCATTCATTATCTTTACCCGCTTCTTCCATTTTGGGTCATGGGGGGGTCGCTGGTGCCCATGTCCAGCAATCACTGTGCGAGGGGCGGGGTACACCCTGGACAGGTTGTGTTTGTTTCATTCATTATATAAAAAAAACAAATATAACTGGATATCTACTCAACATCAGATTTAGGTTCTGCCTGTGCAGACTTCATTTATAGGCTACAAAGGTAGAACCAAGAGAGAATCAATCAGAGCCATCACACAACTTTGGCCTTAACCAGTCCACCTGGATCGTCCTGAAGAAGACATAAACCACTGGCGGACAAAGGAATGGACATCCAACAGGAAGACCAAGAAGACATCAGTTAAAGAAACCTAAAACAGCTGATAGTAATGTCAGTAACAAACAGTATGCCAATGTCCTCCATCTCTCAGGAGTTTAAAAAGTTAATGATTGTAGTTTTCAAACATTGGTTTTCTGGATTGGAACTGAACAGAGAATGAAGGAAACTTTAATGTTTTTTGTTTCAAGATATTCAAGTGGGTAGGAGTTACACTGTGGAGAAAAACAGAGGTAGTTTTTTTTTTTTTCTTGTTGGAGGCAGCACAAAGTGATGGATCCTCAGATGGTGTGTGGGTCATCCAGCTCATCAATACGGACACATGGAAGGAACTTCCAATTATCCCTCTTCGCTCCATAATGGTTATAACAAGCTCCAGAAGGCAGGAGCGAAGGGATCACAATTTAGTGTTTACAGAAGACTTCATCATCAAACATATAGAGGTTACACCAGAGGATATAGACCACTCATTAACAAGAAACATAGGAAGGGTCCAAGTGGAATTAACCAAGAAGTACTGAAACAAAGCTTTCTGGACAGATGAGACAAAGATGGACCTTTACCAAAATGGAAAGTCTAAAGAACATTCTAAAGTGGGCAGAAACATTTGGTCAGCCAACTTAAAGAAAGAAGTAACCAAAGTGACTCGGAGATCCTTCACCATGCAGCAGATAATGATCCAAAGCAACAAAGGAGACTAGACCAGCCCAGTCCATCTCCAGTCTTCAAACCTACATATCTGCATTTTACCTGCTGAAGGAGACTGAAGGGACCGACTCCCAGAACAAGCTGACAGTGGCTGAAAACCAGGAAAAGCTGCACAGAAGTTTGGTATCAGAGAGTCGCAGGCTTGATGTGGGTAAAACAAAGGACTTTCAACTACATGTTAAGTTTAATTCACTTTAATCTGTTTTGAATTGATCTGTTTTACTCATCTAAAAGGTTGGTGTCCCATTATAATTTATTATAAATTTACTGATGCCCTGTGGGACGCTCAGAATTCTGGGACATATTATTAAGAACCCAACCCTGATCTGTACTTCTCCACAACTTTGTCTCCGACCTGTGTGGAAAGTTCCTTGATCTTCATGATGTCTCTTGCTCAGTGGTAGCCTGCCTTACTTAGAGCTGTTGGACTTGTGTTGATTCTGGGGTTTAAACAGCATGATATACACTGAGATCACCTGACAGGTAGATCTAATTCAACACATAACGTGGCTTTGAAGTTAATAGAGTTTCAAAGCAAAGCAAAGCAAAGGGGGTGAATACATATGAGTGCACCACTTCTCAGTGTTATAGGTTTTAGAATAATTTAAAATAGGGTTCCTCCCATTTATCTTCAGCATTTAAAAAAATATACTGCTTTTAATCTAATTAGAAAAATCCAGTTAGATTACAGGCTGTAAGGAAACAACAACAAAAAACGATTTTTAAATGTATGAATACTTGTCCAACTCACTGTACACAAAATTACTGAGACTACTGACTTAACTTGTGAGTAACGGTGTCCCAATATCAATATTAGGCCAGATACCAGCCTCAAGTACTCATACTTGTACTCATTGAAAAAAACAATACTTAGGACTGATAATACTTTTAAGCTGGTGACATCATTTCCTCTTCCACTTTGCAAGTAACAGGGGACATAAAATAGCATGTGGTATTTCAATGTTCCCCATATCTGAGGTATTTGAATAGTTTTGGCAGCACGGTGGCTCAGCTGGTAGAGCTGCCGCCTCTCAGCGAGAAGGTCACCGGTTCAAATCCAAGCCAGGGGTCTTTCTGGATGGAGGTTGAATGTTCTCTCTGTGCATGCGTGAGTTTCCTCTGGGTACTCCAGTTTCCTCCCACAGATTAAAAACATGCATGTTAGACTGATTGGTAACTCTAAATTGTCTCTAGGTGTGAGCGAGAGAGTGAATGGTTGTTTGTCTCATTTGTCTCTATGTGTCCCTGTGATGGACTGGAAACCTATCCAGGGTGTACCCCACCTCTTGCACAGTGATAGTTGGATATGGGCACCAGTGACCCCCGTGACCCAAAAAGTAAGAAGTGGGTAAAGATAATGGATGGATGGAGTTTTGAGATGAGTTTTTATCTGGACTGGAATTGAACAAATAATGTAAGTAAACCTTAATGTTTCGGTGCATGATATTCAAGTGGGTAGGAGTTAAACTGGTGAAGAACAGGGGTAGTATTTTTTTTCTTCTCTTGTTAGAGGCAGCGTAGAATGACACATCCAGGAGAATGCAATTTTATCCACCACCAGGTGCAATGGTGGATCCAGGTGGTGGTCATAGATTAATCTTTGGTAAACCTTATTGTTTGAGGAAACTATACTTTTAAGCAATATGAAAACTAAAAAGCATATTTTCATAAAATAATAGGGGTGGTCAGTTTACATTTGGTTGTGGCCATATTGAATTTTGATGTGGCAATCCAATTTTTGAAAGGAAACTTTCTTACACCTAGATGAAGTCATGCAACAAAAAGGAAATCGGTAACTCGCTTAATTGTAGTTACGGAGGCCAGAGGGCATTTCCAATTTCCTCTTTTTGGTTTGCGACAGAGACAAAAAAGTGTCCATAGCTTTGACACTGGTACATTTTAAGATAAACACAGAGACAGCAGTTTGCTGTGTTCTTAATAAAAGAAGTGTGTTTCTTGAATTAAATACTCAGTATAGGGAAATACCCAAATTGAAGTACCTGTAGTTGGTCTGAAAAAAAAAAGTGTTGGGACACCCCTACTTGTGAGTCAAAGGGAAATTGGACTTTGGATAACTTTTTACTTTATTCTTAAACCAGATGACACATTTCATTAAACTGGATATAAAAATGGATAATGTTTTTTGGTCTTTGTGCACCAGTTTGTCTTTAACCTGACAAATAAGACAGTGAGATCGCATAATGCCAGTATAAGTGACATTTATAAGTCTCAGAGGGATGATTTTAACACCTTACCTGACAAGTGTCTGTCCAGCAGTCCAAACGTCCAGCTGTCCATGTGTCTGCTGTACAGATTTGATCTGGCAGCTAAACCCTGTTGGCTGAAAGTCCACAGCAGCGAGATCGAATGAGGGAGAAAACCAAAATCAAACAAGATACAAAGAAGGGGAAAAAAATGAACAACAGGGAGAAGAAAGTACAAACCAATGGTAGAAAAACAAAGGATAAAATGGGCTAATTACACAACAAAAACTGGGACAACAGAAAAATGCACAAATAAAATCCAACTAAAATACATAAGTTATCCTGAAGCTGTAATATTTTCTTTTAAATTTAAATTAATTCACGTTTTGAGTTGAGTAACAACAGGCAGTCTGAAAGTAATGTTTTGTGGCAGATGGTTTATTGGGTTAAAAAAAAGGCAAGCAGATATTGAGCTTCTTGATCTCCAGTAATGAGTTAAGAACTAAAACAAAAAAATTGAGCCTCCTTTTTCTCCTTGATGGAATCAAATATTTATTCTAACGGAAGCAACAATCCATTTTCCAGGTCTCACAATCAGGCAGTCTCTCAAGCTCTGCCTTTCCTTAAAGAGGACTGACTAGGCAGCAGTGTCCATCTGATCAATAGAAGCCCAACTGAGATCTATTGAGGGAACTAAAGATGTGTTATAAAATAATGTTGATGGAAAACAATTTACACAGAATTCATCAAACCAAAAAAGGAGATAGATTGGATGAAACAAACAAACAAACAAAATAACATGAAAGGGAAAGAGAAAGAAATAGACACTGTTAGAAGCTGTGATCCACCAAGACAGTGATGTATTTGAGTAGACAAAAGAGAAATACAGCAACGAAGCTGAGCAGACCTGACTGGATTTCTACACCAAAACCCTTTACTTTAAATGATGACCAGTGCAACAGCATGTGTAGCAATCCTGTCTGAATTATAACTTTATTAAATATGCTTGCTTCTCAAAATGCACAAAAGGAATTCTCCTTGTCCACAAAAATGGAGCCTCGGAGAATGTTGAGAATGAGATGCAACGTTTCTATGACAATCCAGTTTTGTCTTCTTCTTGTGATGAAGCACCCACTGCTCATTTCTGAGAAACCACAAGAAACTTTCAAGTTAATTAACTACTTTATGTTCAGGTCTGGGGACTTTTTGCTGAGTGGAATACCAAAGGCCTTGGAGCTCTGACCCTGGATTACCAAAGCTGGCTCTTGGGACATGGACCGTCACCTGGTCTAAGATGTGGTAGAGGTAGGGCAGTCGACTTGGGACCAAAAAGTCGCGGGTCGACTTCCCGCTATTCCCACATGTCGCGGTGTCTCTGAGCAAGACACGCAATCTCCAAATTGCTCCCCGGGTGCTTACATAGCTACCCACTGCTCCACCTGGGTGTATTTCATGTGTGATGGGTTAAATGCAGAGAACTAATTTTGTCACTGTATGGGAACATACAATGATGACAACACATAGCACCCATCTCTGGTGGGGAAGGAGCCTGAGCTTGTGCATGAGGTTGAGAGGTACTGACTACATATAGTTGGGCGTGATCACCTCAACGCACAGCATGGGCTCCACAACCAATCTCCTTGAGAGGGGCTGGACCTTATTCCACTCTGGAGTTACCCATGATGAGAGACGCCGAGCTGGTGTGGGTCTAGCCCCCCAGCTTGGTGCATGTGCGTTGGAAGTTTTCCCCATTAGATAAGAAAGTACTGTACCTTTAAGGCATATAAAAACTAGAATGCGTAGTTTCCTCAAATGATAGGGGTAGCCAATTTACATACATATATGGTGGTGGCCATCTTGGATTTTGACATGGCAACCTATTTTTCCAAAAAAAATTTTTTTTGTAGCCACACACCAAAATGGAAATTTGTACCTCACTTATTTTTCAAGTTATCACGCTCACAACATGCATGGACAGACGGGCGGTATTTTGAATTCCCCCTCTGTCAGTTCCGAGATGGGGGGGGACAATTAAACAGGTGTCGAGGTTTGATATGAGCTACTGTAGTCTTTCCACACCTGTCTGCGGTTTTCAAAAAGTTGATTTATAAGTCTGAAAAACAACATAAAACAAGCCCTTAGTCTAGCCTGGATGAAGATTTTTGACCTTTCATCTATACCCCAAATGTTTGACTTATGTCTTGGCTCATAAGGTACTATTGATAACTTTCTGACATAACATCATTTCCATCAAAGCTTACGAGTACAGGTAACATTTTCACTTATAAGCCTGTTACTGAAAGAGATGATGAGAAGAGTCAGGTCTTACTTGCTGCGTCTCGTCCTGCAGCGCTCTATGTGGGGCAGCTGTACACTCTGGTCCCTGCTGTTCTCAGGGGAGGAGGATGGAGGTAACATTCTGCTGGGGGAGGAGGATGGAGGCAGCACCCTGCTGGGGGAGGATTCCACGCTGACAGAGTAGGAGCGTTGTGACGATGCTAACCGCTGAGGGGACTGAGGATGAGCAAAGGGCCAAGGAAGAGTTCCATGTTCTTGATGCACCACTGGATAAATAAAATAAATAAAAAAATACATATAATGTAATTCTAAGAACAACTAAAACAATCTGTTTTATATCCAAAAAAAATCATACAAGTGTATGGTAAAAGAAACAGAGACACGTCTGTGTTGAGTGCTGTTTGCACCGACAGCTTTCGAGCGAGGGGTGGAGACGGCTCAGCGCGAGTGGAGATGGAGCACTACCACCATAGTCATAGCTTTTTAGCTAGTGCATCTGTATTGCATGTCACTAGCTTAGCACTAGCCAAGAGTCATCCCCAACATATATAGTCTGAACACTAATTGATCGCACAAGATTAGTTATTATTTAAACTTTGCTATTCACTATTGGAGTCAATGAAATCTGTTAGCAAAATATCTCACGAACCACTTGACACATTATAATGACACTCTCAGAAAGTAAACATTGGTTGTGCATCTACACTTGGAGTCAACTAATTTCAAGATGGCTGCCACTGCCATACAACCACAGCCAACACAAAATGGCTATAACTCTGGTAATTGTCATTACCTGCAGCGTCCCATCAGTGCAGACTGAACTCTGCAAAAAAAGCCTTTTCTTACTCTGCTCCTGGAACCTGGAACACCTTGCAACAAGATCTGAAGCTGTCCACTTTGATTTCTTTAAGGGATTTTAAACATTTGATAAGGTCAACAGAAACAAAAAAGCAAATGTGTTCTTGTTTCTAGTATTTTACATTGTTTTATATGGCACCTTGATTTTATTGTTTTTATAACACTATTGTTTTACTTGCTTTTATTGCTGTATATTGTTGTCTGTACGCTATATGTTGACTGTCTAAAACAGGTTTCTCTTGAAAACGAGTCCTCGTGATTCAATGAGACTGCATGTATAAATAAAGCTTAAATGAATAAATACAAATTTAACAGATATTGGGCTAAATATATAAATAAGATGTGGACAGTAAAAAAGTATGCTTCTTAAAACTCTATAACGAGGGAAAGGTTTGCAACTTTAGACAAATTGAGGAAACTGGAGCACCTATAAAATATGTAAAGATCTGGCAGTCCTTGAAGCTGTTCACATTTCATGATAACAAAGGACAGAGATACAGCTGTCTAAGTTAACAATTGTGAATGATATCATGATCTCAGGATACATGGTAGAACTCAGAATATGTGTTGGTGATCGGTCTCAGCTACTGCCACACAAAATTTTAGCTCAGGGCTATTCAACAGAACTGCTCAGGAGGCCACAGTTTCTGAAAGCCAGCAGCTCATGGGCAATTAAAGTCATTATTACGTAAATAAACCAAGTATTACAATGATCTGTTACCTTTTAAATTAGTTTATTACATTGAATCATAAATGCAATAAACAGAACCAAAACCAAGAACCAAAAAAAAAAATTTTTTTTATTTTTTGGGGGGTGAACTCTGGTGGGCCGGACTGAAGTCACCCGTGAGCTGGAAGTGGCCCACGGACCACCAGTTGGATAGCCCTGCTTTAGGTTGTTCTGTAATTGTCTGTGAAACCTTCACATATTTTTCTCCATGCGTCATTTTGTTTTAGACTTGTAAACATCGCCACACTTACATATTTAGAGTCGTTTGCAGTGCTCCTAAAGGACACCATCATTGTAAAGATCACTTTACTACAAGCAGTATTTGTTGAGAGAAGTAAAGATTTACCGTCTCTCTCCATCAAAGAGTAAGGCTTAATCTCTCCGTCTGGCTTTTTGTAGGGAGCCTTTCTCAGCTGGTTGGCTACAAAAAGAAAAGAAAACCCAGAAGAGAACATGTTTTTTCCTCCAGCTTTACAGTAACATCATCTAAAGTATACATTTGATAAACCAAAACAAATGTCACTACTACTTCTTCAACAAAGCATTAGAATATGAGAGAATTCAACATAAAACGGTTTTAATCATACTTATTCTGGTTTTCAGATGCAACATATTACAAGCAGAACAACAGTTTCAGTCATTTTTATCCTTTTTCTGGACTGACTGAACGATTCAAAGCTTACATTTCTAATCAGGATGATTGATTGTCATTTTTACACAAACAACCAAAATGTAAACATAAATAAATAAACGAAAAACTTTTGCTGCATAAACGAGCAGTACACTGATGTCCCCCATTTCCGAGCGGTTTGAATAGTAAATATTTGTAGTCTTACAGATGAGTGTTTTTCTGGACTGGAGTTGAACAGAGAATTAAGTAAACCTGAATGACTGAATGAATGGAACTTGGGCTCCTCTAGAACCTTTGGAGATGCTTGTACAAAGAAGGATTCTTCATAAAATGAAGAACATTATAGACAACCCTCAGCACCCTCTTCATCAGACTGTCATACAACAGCAGAGTGTCTTCAGTCAGAGGCTTCTTCAGATCCGTTGTAGGACAGACCGCTACAAGAGATCCTTCCTGCCCACAGCCATCAGCATCTAGAACAACTCTTTAATGAACCCAGGATGATGAGTTACCACAACATTTAATTTCCCTCTGGTGTTAATAAATTGTTTTTGAATTGAATTGAATAAATGAATGGTAGACAGACAGGCAGGCAGATAGATAGATAGCGGGATAGATGAATGGCTGGCTGGAGGACGGACAGACAGACAGACAGATAGATAGAGCCATCAAGTTATCCAGCTCATAAGGTTTATATATAGCAGCGGCCATCTTTGATTTTGACGTGGCAACCCAATGTTCAATGGTGATCTTTCGTACGCCTGGATGTATCCACGCACCAAAATGGAAGTTGGTACCTCCATTGTTTTTCATGTTATCTTGTTCATAATATGGATGGACAGATGGTATTTCCAATTCCTCCTCTTCGCTCCGCAATGGGGGACAAGTTTATTACAAAACTTTTGTATGCAAAATATTATGTAACTGAATTTAATAATATTAATAATAATGTCATCACAATGTCAGCACTGTATGTTTCCATACAATGGCGAAATTAGTCTCTGCATTTAACCCATCCACCACCAGGTGGTGCAGTGGGCAGCTATTGAGGGCGCCCGGGGGGCATTTTGGGGATGAGACGTGCTGCTCAGAGACGCCACGTGATGTGCAGTGACTGGGGATCGAACCTGGGACTTTCGGGTCCCAAGCCGGCTGCCCTGCCTCTACACCATCTCGGCCCCCATTTAATGTCATGTAGTCAAAAATGTCTTGAGTTTATTCTGGGAGTCCATTAAAAAAATAAAATAAAATAAAAAATACACAGAAGAAAGTTTGTGAAAATAAGGAAAAGCCAAAACTAAATCCACTGGGAGGTCATGTTTAAAAGCAGCTGCTTGGTTACACCCCAATGTCAGGGTTATCAAAAAGAAAAACAACGCCTGCATCAGTACTCTGGGCAGCTGTGGCTGAGTGGTTAGAGCAGTCGTCCACCAATGCAAGAGTTTGGGGTTTGATTCCACCAGCAGTCACATGCCGAAGTGCCTCTGGGCAAGACACTGAACCCCTCATTGCCTCTGATGTGTGTCCCATCGGTGTATGAATGTGATAAAGCTCTGATTATTCTTTGTATAAATATAGTAGTGCAGTGCAGTATGACTGGGTAAATGAGGACACAGATTGTGTTGTAAAGAGCTGTGAGTGTCTCGACAAGATAGAAAGGCGCTATACAAGTACAGTCCATTACTTTTACTAAAACTTGAACAATAAAATAATGGTGTAAAATTTACCTGTTCTGTTGAGAAAGAAGCCCTCAAACACAACAAAGTTATTAACCTGCACAAAAGACAATAAATTATGATGAGAATTTTTGATTTAAGTACAGTAGAGCACCAAAAACATGTATTTAAGTTGGTCTTTGTGTAACTGTTGAAGCATGTCTTGTTTCATTGCTGTGAATTAGTAAAACTTTTTGATCAGATAAGGAGAAAGGTCAGGACTTCTGCCCCATGGAAAGCAAAGACAAACCAGTTTAACAAGTTTAACAAGTGCACGTGACTGTCGGAAACAAAACGACTTGCGTGATCCTCTCTTGGCTTCTAGTTCATGGTATTCTGCCAAGTTGATGCAATCCGTGACAAGGTTTTTCCATCACAAAATGTGGAACATTTACAAGTATATAGAGGCTGTACATCCCTGTACGTATCTAAGAAAGCAGAGACCTTTATTCAGTGAGGAGAAAAAAAATACTTTTGTGATGATTGGATATAGAAAACAATATTTAAACTAGAGAAATGGCATTTCCTGTGACAATGCAGTGTGAGTGCTTACTGCTGAATGGCTATAACAGAATAACATAACAATAAAATAATAGAATAGATAGAATAATCTGAACTATGCTTTACTTTATGATTCCATTACGTAAAGTTATTAAACAAAATGGGATAAATTCTCATTGTTATGCTGATGATACACAGTTATACTTGTCCATAAAACCCAATGAATCCAATCAGCTCCTTAGACTACAAGCATGTCTTAAAGACATAAAAACCTGGATGACCCTAAATTTTCTGCTTTTAAAATCAGACAAGACTGAGGTTTTGGTTTTTGAACCTGAGCATCTTAGGAATGCATTTTCAGTCGTTCTCCCTCCTTGGATGGCATTAATCTGTCCTCCAGCTCTAATGTTAAAAATCTTGGTGTTATTTTTGATCAAGACATGTCTTTTATCCCCCACATTAAAAACGTTACTAGAACTGCCTTCTTCCATCTACGTAATATCGCCAAAATTAGAAACATCTTATCTAAAAATGATGCAGAAAAACTGGTTCATGCATTTGTCACGTCTAGACTGGACTATTGCAATGGTTTATTATCTGGGTGTCCAAATACGTCTTTAAAACGTCTTCAGTTAATTCAAAATAACCGAAACTAGATGAAATTTTTTCATCTCTAAACGTTTAATGTGAGTTGAAATTGAACAGAGGACATTTGCTGAAAGCAGGACAATTAAAAGGGAAAGCAGCAGAAACACAGCAGAAATTAGCAGAATAAGCAGCAATAAGCAGAGAGAGGCTGAATATATTAAAAACCATGAAATTAGCAAAAAACAGTAACTGAAAAGGTTTAAGAACTTGAAATAATCAGAACGAACCACAAAAGGCAGAAACTGGCAAGAATAAAAAGCAGAAAAAAAGCTCAAATTAGCAGAAAAATACCTAAAAAGGAGCTGAAAAAGCAGAAAAAGTTTAAATTAGCAGGAAAAAAAAAGAAAACAGCTGAAGCAGAACCAAAGCTGAAATGAGCAGGAAAAAGTTGTAAACAGCACAAAAAGTCTGAAGGATGTGAAGAGAACTCCATTCATTTTCATTAATAAAAATATGACTGACAAAGCTACTGTAATTATTTCAAAAAGTAAAAACTGCACAAATACCACAAGTCACAGCAGGAATGTCTTGAATAAGCTGAACCTTTTGAGACATGAATTGTTGAAATAGAACAAAAACTGAAGAATGAGTTCTGTTCTGAAAGACGTACGGAAGAAAACGGATCTTAGTTGTATGTTTTGTTCCTTCATGTTTTGTTAAAAGTCCTCTATGTAATATGTTAAAAATGTATTCTCTCAACAAATTTGAGCGTGTGATGGTAGAAATTATTACTTACAGCTTCATTTGTGTAGTCAAAGATGTTCCCCTTGGAGGAGTTCTGGGACCACTTTGATTTATTTTGAATTTTAAGTCTTCACAGCAACATTTCAAACCCTAATGTCTACATATATGCTGAGGATAAAGCGATATATGTTGCATCCATACCTTATCAGACACAATTTTTAATTTATTTGAATGCTGAGAAAATAACACTAAAAATGCTTTCCGATTGAAATTTTTACCTTTTTAAGTGTTCTATTTACTAGAACTCTTTTTGGCTCTGCAACTGAATTAGTGTAAATATAAATACATGTAAATTCTGAAGGATAATACTCTGATCTTGAAGTCTCACATCCCCTTGCAGGCAAAAGCTCAGGATAAAACTCAGCTACTTCTTTAGAGTGAAGTCTTGTGTTTCTTTTAAAGATAAAAATGACATCTCCCACGTTCATGTCTGCTGAATTATGGAGATGTAATTTATACATGACTCTTTTAACATGCTGACTTTTACAGTCTGCCATAAAACTATGAGGTTTGTTACAAACCTTAAAGGTCTGAATCATATTTTTTCATTGTCTTATAAAGTTGGAATGCTTTAAGGTTCAAGGATTGTTTACTTTTAAATCTTAAAAGCTACATCTTACAAAAACGTATTGGACAAGCCTTGTTCCTTTTGACTGTACAGATAAGTCATTTTGAATTTGGGAAAAATACATTTAAATATTCTGAACCCCACCTTGAATGGCTCCACAACAAAGCCTGTATTTCTATTTCATAATAAGAATGACTTAGGAGCCTTCAAACCACCAGAAAAGGGGATGGAAGTGTCGTTGACTAATTATAACCACTAAAAGAAGGAAGCAACCACTCTCAAAGTCATGTTAAAGAACCATTACCAACATTTCATCCTACCTGCCATCTTTAAACTAATAATGAATAGAGAAAACAAATTTCTGGGATTAGCAAAAGGCAAACAGACTTGAAATCCCTTACCTGAGGAACGCCTTGCATTAAGCTGTAATGTTTGGCCAGGAAAGCCAGGAGTTTGGGTGAGGGCCTGTCATACGCCATCTGTACTGGCTCTACATTCTTGTGCTATAGTGAGACAAGAAATGTGGAACTTCACTGACAGTTATCACTAATCGTAGTAAAGTGGTACAGAGTGAAACAGCATTTTCAAGTTATCTAAAAAAAACAGTTCAATTGAAGAAGACCATAACATGAAACGTCTTTTGCTTTTTGACACATCAGCTTTGCCTCAAACATTTTTTGAGGGCACGGTGGATCAGTTGGTAGAGCTGTTGCCTCTCAGCGAGAAGGTCATCAGATCAAATCCTGGTCCAGGACTTTTCTGGGTGGAGTTTGCATGTTCTCTCTGTGCCTGTGTGAGTTTTCTCTGGGTACTCCAGTTTCCTCCCACAGACCAAAAACATGCATGATAGACTGATTGGTAACTCTAAATTGTCCCTAGGTGTGAGTGAGAGAGTGAATGGTTGTTTGTCTCGTTTGTCTCTATGTGTCCCCGTGATGGACTTGCGATCTGTCCAGGTGTCCCCCGCCTCTCGCACATCGATTGCTGGATATAGGCACTTCGCTGTGGCAGCCCCTGAAGAAGGGAGTGTCCAAAAGAAAAATATATATGCTGTATATACCCCGTGACCCGAAAAGGAAGAAGCAGGTAAAGATAATGGATGGATGGATATATATATACACACACCGCCTGGCCAAAAAAAAAAAAAAGTTGCCACCTGGATTTAACCAAGCAAATGGGTATGAGCCTCCTATTGTATAATTACTGCATGGGTGATTATTTTTCAGCTGGCAACAAGTTATTTAACCCCAACTGGTGCAATGAGTTCCTTCTCATTTCTTAAACAGTCATGTTGAAAGACACATGGCGTGGTCGTGGAAAAGATGTCAGTCTGTTTGAGAAGGGTCAAATTATTGGCATCAAGCAGAGAAAACATCTAAGGAGATTGCAGAAACTACTAAAATTAGGTTAAGAGCTGTCCAACACATCATTAAAAACTGGAAGGATAGTGGGGACCCATCGTCTTCAAGGAAGAAATGTGGCCTACTCTACAAGTCTGTGTGGGCAGTGCTGTGATCTGGGGTTACTGCAGTTGGTCAGGTCTAGGTTCAGCTCAAAGAATGAGGTCAGCTGACTACCTGAATACAATGAATGACCAGGTTATTCCATCAATGGATTTTTTTCTTCCCTGATGGCACGGGCATATTTCAAGATGACAATAGGATTCATCAGGCTCGAATTGTGAAAGAGTGGTTCTGTGAGCATGAGGCATCCTTTTCACACATGGATTGGCCACCACAGAGTCCAGACCTTAACCCCATTGAGAATCTTTGGGATGTGTTGGAGAAGGCTTCGCGCAGTGGTCAGAATCTGCCATCATCAATGCAAAATCTGGGTGAAAAATTATTGCAACACTGGATGGAAATAGATCTTGTGACATTGCAGAAGCTTATTGAAACAATGCCACAGTGAATGCATGATGTAATCAAAGCTAAAGGCGGTCCAACGAAATATTAATGTGACCTTTTTTTTTGGTGGTGACATTTTTTTTGGGCCAGGCAATGCATATATGGTGGTGGTCATCTTGGATTTTGACGTGGCAACCCAACTTTTGATAGTGACGTTTCTAACGCCTCCATGCAGCCACACACCAAAACTGAAGTGGATACCTCATTTATTTTTCAAGTTATGCTCACAACATGCATTGCTGGATGGATGAAGGGTTTCTCCAATTCCTCTTCTTCGCTCCATGACAGAGGACAATAAGGATTCAGATTTAGTGGTAGGACTACTTTGACGATCTTTCCAACCCAGCTGACATATCTTCAAAAACTGAGGTATGGATTAGGGAGTTCAAGTCTGTATTTTGTTGTTTTGGGGAAAAACTTCCCACTGTACCCACTGTGGTGTTGTGTAGGGTCTTGTAGGGTGTACGGGCATTAGACGTCTTTCTTCAGACCATTTAGTCTCTGTACAACGAGAGTGACAGCTTAGCTCACATTGTCAATCAGGCTTGTTTCATGCCAGAAGTTGGACTTTACCAGGGCCGCCTTGCATCGCTAATTGCGTTCGTAATCTTTATGAACCAAATTTCCTGTCAAGCAATCAAAATGTTTACCTGCAGCATGAAATTAAACAGCTCCAGCCCATAGCCATGTCGCTGCAAATTTTCTGCAACGTAGAAATCCAAAACACACAGTGGCTCTGCCTCTATGTGCACACCTTGTTGATTCTAGAAGAAAAGTTAAGAGAGGAAGGAAAGCTTCAAACAAGCATACGGTCAACAAGGCGTGCCAAAACGTGAAAGTGATAAAGTGAAAGTAAATAATTGACTTACGAGCAGAAACAACTTCTTGTACCCTACTTTCAAAAATCCCACAGCCACACCACGACCTCTGTTTGGAAGAAGAAAGAGCAGCTCAGAGCAACGCATGAGCTTAGTTTTTAATTTTGTATAACTTCTGTGTGTGTCTGGGACAGTATATAAACAGGACTGTGCAAAAGTTTTAAACTATATTTCCTTATATATCTCTTCCAAGGAGTCAAATTTTCTAGTAATTGTTTAACACCCACATGGTCTTGTGGGAAAAAAATAAAAATAAAAATCAGCCACGCATTTAGTTTTGTCCGTGTTTTATTCATTTAATTATGTATTTTTTGATGCAGTCAATTAACACATTTTTATTCTCTAGTGTTCCTCAGGAGAAAAACTGATCATAGAGAAATCCCATTATAAATGCATTTTTAAAGATATATTCATCATCATCAGAATGTATTTCTTTCAGTAAGGTGTTTTTTTTAATAAGGCTGCTATCTCTTTTTGATTTTTATTAAAGCTCACTCGTAAAGCTCACTTTTTATGTTTGAGAGCCTCTGTAAAAAATTAGCGGGACGTGCTGCAACTCACCCTGAAGAGATACGTCTTTCCCGGATGGCCGTTACTCTCATCTTGTCCAATAGAATTGTTTTAGTTTGGATTTAAAAAGAAAAATCTCACTTGCATGTTGCACAAGGAAACATTTAGTACAAACAAACAAAGAAATAAAATGTACCTTTTATTTCAGGCTGAAATAGTCAAAGTCTAAAAGACTGTCTAGTTTATTGAAGAAAAAGTATTTGAAAAAAATAGTACCTTTAAGCAGTTACGTAAGGTGGTCGATCTTTCCTCAAAGGATTACTAACTGTCAAAAAGTTAAAGAAACTTCTGAGGGTCATGAGCTCTTCCTTTCAGCTTTCTGAAACTATTTCAGTTTCTCTTGATACCTGAGCTGTTTTCTGTCCAGTTAATGAACCTGACCATGACAGCATTTTGTGCATTGTGGACTTAAAACAGGGGAACGCAGACATGAGTCACATATTTAAATAAAAAACTGCAGCAAATAAAACATATTTGAAAGTCATAATATCTACTGTATGCTAAAATTTCAACTAATACTAATCTGAGTGGCCTTCTTAAAGCTAAAAATCCTATCTTGTATATATAAACTGTATGATATTTGATATTTCTAATGGATTTAACCAAAACCATAGAAATGTGTGTCTCTGCAGCTACTAGTGATAAAAAGTCTAAAGATCTAATAAATCTTGACTGTTGTCTGTCATATGCTGACACAACAATGGTCCATTCCTTAAGTTCAGGACTTTATATGCCTGAATGATTCAGAAGTCAGGGTTAGGTGACTTAAATAACAACAACAATTTTGTTAGAATGACCTGTTTAGTTGAAATTAGTTAGAGTTGCTGCTAAAAATCACTTTAAAATATTACAAAACACTTTGTCTCTTTAGAAGCAAAGTTTAAAGAAAGAATTGATGACTAAAGACCTTGCAGGGGTGGAACAGCTTGTGAGGTTATGTAGAGGCAAAAATATGTCCTTTACAGTCCATAAAGCTAAAAGGCTGAACATCCCACCATGAGGAAAAGATCAGCAGCTCGAAACATTGGGAGAAAAGGTGTGTGGGGGTTGCATCATCGAGGTCCTTCTTAAAATCTCAACACCGCACAGCTAATCAAGAAAGCCCAGCAGAAGCTGCACCTGCTCAGGAGACTAAATTGAGTGAACTTTCCACCTCTATCCTCATCACCAGTGTACCACTGGGAGCATCCTGAGCAGCTGTATTACATCCTGGTGCAGTAACTGGTGTAACTGACAGGAAGAGACTGCAATTAGTGGTGAGGATGGAGAACAGCGTTATAGAACTCTCACTCTTTTCCTTAGAGGCCAAAGAGAGATGCAGGAGAAAAGCTCTCAGCAGAGACGGCACACTCTCACTTCTCTCATGTGTTGTAGAAGATATCCCATTACTAAATCAAGAATGACACAGCTTTATGCATGAGGAAATGTATTGTAAAATATTAAACCTCCACACTTTAGCATGACTCTGTTTAGTTTGTTGCTGTTTTCTCAACTGAACAACCTCTGTCATTGCACAAATGTACAGACCCTTTTCAAAAAATTTGAATATCATGGAAAAGTTGTTTAACTTCCTTAATTCTATTAAAAAATAATAATATTTATTAGTATAAGTTAAACAATTTCAAGTATTTATTTGGTTATTTTTACATAATTTGGGCTTCCAGCTCATGAAACCCACAAAAACAGGAATTCAAAAAATTAGAATACTGTGGAGAAATCAGCCCAAATGTTGCAGGACATGAATGTTTTAAACTGAGTGTGACACACTAATCATCTACTAAACTCAAAGCACCTGCACAAGTTTCCCCAGGTGTCATTAAATTGCTTCAGTTTGGTATAATTGTCTCAATTTGGTTCAATATGTGGAAGACTGCAGACATAACTGGCCAGAAGGCCATCATTGATACCCTCCATAGGATGGGTAAGCCAGAAAAGTTCATAGCTAAGGAGGCTGGCTGTTCACAGAGTGCTGTGTCCAAGCATATCAATGGAAAGTCTAGTGGAAGGGCAAAATGTGGCAGGAGAAGATGCACCAGGAAAAAAGATGACCGTGGGCTTCAGCGGATTATCAAACAGAGAAGATTCCAGAATCTGGCAGAGATCCAGAACGAGTGGAATGAGGCGGGAGTCACAGCTTCAAAAACCACCACATTCAGATGCATCCGGGAGATGGGCTACAACTGTCGGGTTCCTCAGTCCTCTTTTCTGATGAAAGTAAAGTGTGCCTTTCATTTGGAAATCAAGGTCCAAGGGTTTGGAAGAAGAAGGGTGAGGAACAGAGTCCATACTGCTTTGGTCCAGTGTGAAATATCCACAGCCAGTCATGATTTGTGGTGCAATGTCCGGTGCAGGTGTTGGTAAACTCTGCTTTTTTAAATCCAAGGTCACTGCAACAGTCTACCAGAATGCTTTAGAGGACTTCATGATTCCTTCTGCTGAGGATCTGTATAGAGATGCAGATTTCATCTTCCAGCAGGACCTGGCCCCTGCCCATGCTGCCAGAAGCACCAAATTTGATGCCCATGCCACAGTGCTTGACTGGCCAGCCAACTCTCCGGACCTAAACCCCATTGAGAATCTATGAGGTATTCTCAAGAGGAAAATGAGGAGCACCAGATCCAACAACAACTAACCCTAACCCAACAACAAGCATCAAGGAAATCTGGGCTTCCATAACTCCCAGGCAATGCCACAGGCTGATTGCCTCAATGCCACATCGCATCGAGGCAGTGATTAAGGCAAAGGGATTCCCAACCAAGTTGAAGATTGACATTGTTGTGAAAGTATCATATTTTGATTGATTTGTTGAAATCCTAATTTTCTCTTTTTTTCTTGCAAAAACTGAGAAGTGTGGGCTGATTTCTCCACAGTATTCAAAATTTTTGAAATCCTGTTTTCGTGGGTTTCATGAGCTGGAGGCCCAAATTATGTAAAAATAAACAAATAAATACTTGAAATCGTTTAAATTGTGGGCCCTGAATCTATCATCTATTAAAGATTA